AAAAAAAAGAAGCTTGTTAAGTATAGCCCTTAAATATACAGCAGCTAGGCATAAAATACACTTTCTGTTAATAACGAGCCACGTTACAAATAGTGCGAGTATAGCAAAATTGTAGCAGAATGCGAGCGCCACCTAGTGATGAAAACTGGGAACCGGAATTTCGTTCAGTCTGCCAGGCCTTGAATTATTTATTTATTTTTAAAATCATCTTTTTCCTCTACGTACAACCTGTTGGATTCAACCGTATATTCTATTGTATACCGTATATTCAACCGTATATATGAAAGAATAAAATGTGCAAATTAAACTACTTATAAAACTTCACAAGTCGACATGCTCTAGCACTGCATGATGTACTTATATTCTCACGTGTTTTTTTTTTTTTTTTTTTTTTTTTTTTTTCCCTCCCTCTTCCTGTAAATTGTGTGAATTTTATATATGTTAAATATTTAGTGCTTCTTTTGATATTAATATTCACTGATTGTGGACGCAAGAATCTTAAAATCTAAACTTTTACCTCCACTCATCACATTACTGATCAAAAAGTAGTATCGTATGATTATTAGTCATATTATTAAAAACTTCAAAATGGCTTTTGGAAATTTTTCTCCTTACACAATAATTTGCATTTTGGCAAAAAAGCTTTCACAAGTTGACTATGGGCAAGTATTGAATTTTGTTTCCGAAACGTTAACCAGTAATTTTGTTTAGAGTTAAAAATCATTTCTGTGTTATATGTATATCTTTTTAGTTTTTAATATACTTCATAAGTTCCTTTTCTTAGCCATAAGGCATGTGTAAAAGCTTATTTCCTTGTATTATTATTCCAGAAGACCTTTTGACAATTGTCACTGAAACTTACTCCGTACCTTCTGTTAATTAGAAAATAATTTGGGATATAAAATAAATAATTAGATATTCTATTATTAAAATTTTTAAAAAATATATTGAATGGTAAAAATCTCTGTAATTTCGGTGCGTTCAACTACCATTTCTGATACCCACAAGGCTAATTCCATCATAATAACTTATCTAACCGGTCATTATTCAGCAAACCTTTCTATTTGAAAATTCTGGGACCATCCTTTGTAATAAAGGCCCAAGATACAACCTCCACCACCTGCAAAATGCATAGCTCTCTTATATAGGATCTCGTGCTGTTACTGGAAGGCACTAAATAGGCTTCCTTATCTCTGTATTAAGTACATAAGGCTGTTTACATCTTTTTTCCAAAACAGATAGTCAAATTAAATACATTAGGCATTTTTGTGTATCTACCATTTGTTTCAATAATAATGTTTGTTGGCATTAATTTCTATTGAAATTACATGAGGTTGTTTAAGGGCATTTTTTATTTACATTCATTATTGAAATATTTAATTATTACTTTTTTCCTTAGATAATCCAAGAGGTTTTATATTGTTACAATTTATGGTATATGCTGTATAATATGCAATAAATATTTTTTAATTTTCCAGAAAATAAATTTCTTATCTTCTATTGGTGATTGTGTATAAGGTTATTTCCCTCCTTTCGCAGGCCTGGGTGTAATGATCAGCCATCGGGACAATATTCGAGAGGTCCATGGTTCGAGTCCCAGGAAGGCATTGCTCGTTTTTCACATCTCTCAGCTTCCAAAAAAAAAAAAGCCTAATGTCTCTACAGGTCTTCTTCAAAATAAACAAATAATATGATGAATGAAAATATTTGGTCATTAAAACTTTTAATCACTGCTGTTTACCAGTATTTATTTTTTCACATAATTTGAAGTTTTCAAGTAGTTTTGAAGGTTTTTCAAACTAAGTTTCAGAGAAATTTAGATATCGTGCAACTCTCTGGGGCATCTTCAAGTTAAATCAAAATTAAAAAACTATTTTAATATCACTGGACATGCAATAGAATAAAAAATATTTCTTTATTTTAAGTTTTTGTTACAAAAAATATTAAGCAGATCTTTTTTATGATTAACATTATAATGAAATAATGATTTTCTTTCACTTCTGCTAAAAATGCACAAATTTTGTATTTCAATCTTTTGAAACATTTTTTTTTTTTTTTTTTTTTGTTTTTTTTTTTTTTTTTTTTAGGAGGAAATGCTTCTCTGGAAAAAATTACAATATTAAAGATTTTTCTGAATTCACAGATTTGTAGACAGTTGGATAGAAAAGCCACAATTTTTTAAATGGATGAGCAAATACAGCCCTGGCTTTTGCTATGTTTTATGCATTTAATAAATTTCTGCCCGACTGTTTATTCTTTAATTCTACCTAACATAATTAATCGATAACCGTTTCTAATATAGAATTTTAGCATCAGTTCTACATAATAACATGAGGAATCTTTTTTTAATTGAGTTTTATCATTATTAACAAAATACTTTGGCACTATGAACTGAGAATTTTTTCTTTACTTTATCTTTCATACTTTAGGAACTGGTCATGATTTACAATCTATAAAAAAGATATAAATCTTGTATTTTTTAAAACTGCAATAAACCTCAGCTCCTTTGTTGCATGAATAATGTGAAACTTCTTGTGTAAGTATTTTTTTAGCATCTTCTATGTAACAGTATAGACTCCATGATTATTCCTTAAAATTAGAAGTATCAGAAATAGATGTAATATGTATTGTCTTCTGCATTAACTTGCAAAAATAAAAGTGTGAATATCTGAATGGAATTATATAGAAAAGCTACAGGACGCTATGTTTTCATAATGGTCATTCCACTATACTGGAAATATTAAATTCAAACAATAAGTGCAGAAAAGATTCAGTAAGAGGAATACCTCTTCTGAAACAATACATTGACTGTAGTTGTTCCATATGATATTTCTATACAACATCCCAAAATCTGGTAAATAACTTTCTAAACTAAGTTTACAGTGTAAAAAAAGTAGTGGAAAAATGTTGTATCATGTATGGGCTACCATACATAAAAATTAAGAAGTGTTACAAATGTTTTTTTATCTTAATTGTCTGTTACACCAAATAACTAGATATGAGAAAGAACATGCAGTGCATACAGCGGATGATCCCTTTTACAGAGTTGCTAATTTGAAAACAATTAACCTGTAAACTAACCTTCATACTGGTTTGCTTTAGATTCATTTGGTAACAAATATGCCATTTAAGTCTGTACAATCAATCAATAAACCTTGTTACAAACAAGTTTTTGTTTGCAGGATGCTTTCATAATTGGTTTTCTTTTGGTGGTATAGCAACAGCGAAGGGAAAGATTCCGGGTAATTTAATTCAACTACATAGCAAATCCATTCTTCTGTAACTTTATAATTTGATACAGCTTTATTTTTTCAGAATTTTGTTCATACTACTATTTCATCCATTGCAGACAAATTCCACAAGTGCATATTTTAAAATGAATTTCCTATTTAAAAAAGTATGATTTGCTTATAAATAACAAATCATATTTTTATTTTTATAACAAATCATTGTAACTTGGACAAACACACACAAAAACTGGAAAAAATATGCAAAAATGGGGATGCTGTTTATTAAAAACTGAAGAATCGTTATATGCACGTACACATGGTTGACACAGTTTGGTGCATCTCGCCAAATTTGTTGTAGTAATATGGGAGTCAAAAAAAATTTATTTTATATTAAAATTATTAAGGTGTCGATGGCTATGCTAGGTTACACAAAGCAAGGCAACGTACAGAAACAGCTATGTACCTTAGGCAAAGGAATGTTTTTGAGAAGGTCTTTCTATGAGAAACTGACTTATATTGACATAATACATGAAGAGAAACAGGAAAATCCCCATGCAGCTAGCCCATTCACCAGTATTTGTACCTCGATGAAACATCCAGTGTTCTATCTTATCTGTTAGTCTACTGGTGCCAATCAAAATAGATAGTAATGTAATATTATACAAGCTAAATAGCATTGACTTATGCATCACTAAAGAAAGAAATACATTTCAGAAAACTTTCCTGTTTTACGAAAGTGTCAATATCTTCATTATTATAAATTCCTGATATTTCAATGCATGTAATTATATGGTGAACTATTAACTTAAAACAGAATATTTTTAATTGGTAGAGTTTAATTATAAGATTATTTTGAAAAACATTGTTCGTGATAAAACTAAAGAATGAATTTTCTTTACACACTGACTGTTAAATTATTATCATTTATACAATAAGACAGGATGAAAAATACAGTAGTGAGGCAATTGTTGAGTTTCTGAAGAAACAATAATAAAAATTTTCAAATCTAACACAGTACACCTTGTTTAATATAGTATGGAATGTTTTGTAAAGAATGAACTATTTTTAAAAAAAACATGCAATAGCTGAAAATAAAACAAAATAAAAATCAAACAGAACTCTATTACACTGTTGCACGTGGTTGCGGCTGTGTGCAACAACAAACTATGCGTATTGGAATTTGCCAGTGCTTTTAAGGATGAATTCATAACATGTCATAAGAGCCAATTTTTGATAACAACATTTAATCACATCACAATATTAAAACTTAATTGCTACAGTCGACAGACAATCACATTGGAGGAAAGCGAGCGACCAACCGCACCGACGACGAGACGACTGTGTGTCGCCGAAATCACCTTCGGTTACAGTTAGTGATAACGGCGCGCGGTTGCCGAGTTACAACACATGTTTACAGAGTCGCCACACTACTCCCCCTCCAGTGGCAACGAATTAAAGGTACCGAGGGTTAATCGGACTCTACGTCCGGAACGTGTATACTGAGGAGCACTTTGTTTTCTGGGATCCAGGCACAGGAACTGACGTAGTAGTAGATGTTGGTGTAGACCCAATAGATGAAGGTGCCCTTCGAAGGAGGGGACTGATGTACCAGTCTCGACAGTTTGTGGTGCTAAGATAAAGGCTGGTTTGAGACGATCAAGGCTCACCACTGTCTCTTTGTCGCCGATTAGTATCCGATAGTTCTTGGATGTGCGACTTAGAACTAGGTGTGGGCCTGTATAGGTAGGCTCCAAGGACGTTTTTGATGCATCACACCCGTAAGAACACATGTGAGGATGTAGTGAGCTCTTTAGGCACAAACACAGGTCTTGAAGAATGTATGCTTGTGGGCTTAGGGTATAACGCAGCCACGGTTTCACGCAATTGTTTGAGGAATGCATGAGGCTGGACATTGGGTGAGTTTTTTGCGGGATTTATAAAATCTCCCGGTAAACGTAAATTGGTACCATAAACCATTTCAGCACTTGAAGAACCCAGGTCCTCTTTGATAGCCGTTCTGAGTCCTAACAACACAGTAGGAAGGCATCTAATGGCCTGTTTAAGAGAGCGATGGAACCTCTCAACAAGTGCATTGGAATTCGGGTGGTACGGTGATGTACGGATCTTTTTAGTTCCCAAGAATTTTCTTAATGCAGTAAATAATTGAAATTCGAACTGCCGTCCTTGGTCCGTGGTAACGTACTCGGGTACCCCAAACCGTGAAATCCATACAGAAAAAAAGGTTTTTGCCACAGTGTCGGCTGACATATCTACAATAGGGATAGCCCTCTGGCCAACGTGTGTATCTGTCGACACACGTAAGAAGATATGTATAACCTAGTGATGGGGGTAAGGGTCCAACCAAATCGATATGTACGTGGCTAAAGCGAGCAGATGGTAACTCAAAGCGTTGACATGGAGTTCGAGTGTGCCTGTGAATTTTTGATTTTTGACAGTCTGTACATGACCTCGCCCATGCAGCGATGTCCTTCTGCATACCAGGCCATACAAAACGCTGTTGAATTAACGTGCGAGAAGCACGGATGCCAGGATGGGATAAATTATGGAGGGCCGCTAAAAATACCATGCCGGAATTTCAGTGGAATGTATGGCCGCACCACATTACCTTGCACATCGCAGTACAGTGAAAGATCTGGTTCTAACTGCATAGGTACTAAATTAAGTCCATGAGAAGACTTGTCAGACAAAAGATGTTGCAATTCTGGGTCCTGTTTCTGGCATTCAGCAATGGCGGAGAAATCTGTTGTTGATGGCAACTGAACCTCTTCAATTCTGGACAGAGCATCAGCAACTGTATTTTGAGGGCCTTCTACATGCCTAAAATCGGTTGTAAACTGCGCTATGTAATCAAGATGACGCATTTGCCTGGGAGAAGCCTTGTCAGGCTTTTGTCGAAAAGCGAAAATTAGCGGCTTGTGGTCGGTATAGATAGAAAACAAACACGACCTTCTACCATATGACGAAAATGTTTAACAGCCTCATACGCACTAAGAAGTTCGCGGTCGTACGTGCTGTATTTTGATTGCGCTGCAGAAAATTTTTTCGAGAAGAAAGCCAGAGGCTTCCATGCTCCGTCTACCAGTTGCTGCAAAACCGCACCCATGGCCGTATTAGACGCGTCAACCATTAATGCTAAAGGGTGCTTAGAAGGATAGCTAAGAGCTGTTGCCGACGCTAAGTCATTCTTACATTGTACAAAGGCTGTACGGGCATCATCAGACCAAATAATTGGCCGCGTATCTTTCTTTTTACTCCCAACCAAATATGTGTGCAAAGGTGCCTGCTTTTCAGCGGCATGAGGAAGAAAGCGACGATAAAAATTTAACATGGCCAGAAAACGACGCAGCTCCTGAACAGTTTTTGGCTCTGGGAAATTTTGAATTGCAGTGACTCTGTCACTAAGTGGGCGAACGCCCTCCGAAGAAACTTCGTGACCAAGAAATGACACTTTAGATTTCCCGAAAACACATTTTGATGGATTAATGACTACACCATAAGACTGAAATCGGCCAAGGACTATGCAAAGGTGTTCAAGGTGCTGGTTTTTCAGTTGTCGAGGCTACCAGAATGTCATCGAAATATGGGACACAAAAATCTAAATCTCGAAGGACTTCATTAATGAAGCGCTGAAACGTTTGCGCAGCGTTACATAACCCGAAAGTCATGACAGGAAATTCGAATAATCCAAAAGGTGTTATTACAGCAGTTTTTGGTATATCAGGTGGATTGACAGGGATCTGATGGTAAGCACGAGTCAAATCTAACGTAGAAAAAATATTTTTGCCTTCCAAGACTTGCATGCAGTCCTGAATATGAGGAACCGGATATCTATCAGGCAAAGTAACTGAATTAAGACGTCGATAATCCCCACAAGGACGCCAGTCGCCGTTTTTCTTAGGGACCATGTGGAGTGGACTGGCCCATGAACTTTTAGATGGCCGACAGATTCCTTGCTCAAGCATGTATTTAAATTCTTCTTTTGCAGCCTTTAATTTCTCTGGAGGCAACCGCCGTGCTTTGGCAAAGATTGGTGGTCCAGTAGTCTCTATGACGTGTACAATACCGTGGTCAGCAGTCGGTTTGCCAGTTACTGAGCGGATGACGTTAGGGTATTGCTCAAGTAGTTTGTGGAAAGGAGAATTACCGGAAATTAATTTAATTCCAAAATTAGTGGCATTTCCAATGCTACCTACCGCGGACAATTGTGTGATGGAGTCGAGTAAGCGTCGATTTTTAATGTCGACCAACAGAGAAAATTTTTGCAGAAAGTCTGCACCAATTATTGGGTGCGAAACCGCAGCGATGACAAATGGCCATTGAAATTTGCGACGCAATCCTAGATCCAAAGACATTAATATTTCTCCATATGTTGCAATTTTTGACCCGTTAGCTGCAAATAAGTTAAATTTTCCAGGCGGCCGTTTGGATTCGGCAAAAGAGGGAGGTACAACCGAAATGTCAGCACCTGTATCAACAAGAAAACGTCTGCCTGATGGTTTATCTGTTACGAACAATCGACTAATGCACGGGCCGTTGTCACTCATGGCTTCGAGTGACGGCCCCTTCAGTTTAAAGAGGTCTTCTGAAATTTGCATGGAGGTGTACACTTGCGCGCTTTATCACCGAATCGGCTGTGATAGAAACAAATGTCTGATTGAGTACCAGAATGAGCGCGTTGGTATTCCCTATTATTTCGGTTCCGGGACTTTGATCTACCGCGCGGATGATACTGAGATCGTGTCTGTAAGGCTGCGACCTGCAATGATAATTCCTGGATTTGTTGTTGAAGAGATGAAATATCAACACTGGGATGCTGAACTTGACTGATTGCTTGTGGTTGGAGAACATCATGAATTTTGTCTGCCATTTGGGCCAGTTGGGGTAGGTTCTCGTTACTGGAGGCAAGAATAGCTTGGATATTGTTCGGGAGACGATTGAGCCACAATGATTGTAAAACATTGGACTTAAAATTGTCACCCGCAAGCTCCTGCATTTTTGACAATAACTGGGATGGGCGCATATCACCAAGTTGCAAATCTTGTAATAACTGCTTTAGTTTGGTGTTTTCAGACTCCTCATAAACTGAAATTAATTTATTTTTCAATTCCTCGTATTTATTATCCGAGGGGGCTTCAGAACAATCTCGCGTACTGACTGAAGAACATCAGTGTCGAGGGCAGAAATTGCAGTATAAAATTTCGTGTCGTCGCGTGTTATACCCCCGAGCTTGAATTGTGCATCTAATTGAAAAAAACCAAAGGTTGGGGTCACTACGGCAAAATGGGGCAGGTTTCACAGCAACGCGAGCCATTTGTTTGTCATCAGTGGCTAGAGGATCGCTAGTAGCCATAATAAATATGAATAAATACAGATAACAAACAAAAAAATATAGTTCAAGAATACTGTTGCAGTACACGTGAAGAAACACAAAATAATTAATGTTAGGACCTGGGTTCTGATGATCTAGAACATGAGAAATATAGGAAAAAACTCACCCGCTTGACGAATACATACGAATCCATGTGCGGAATAAAAGGTAAAAAATATCACCTTGATGTACAGAAATTATCCACTCGCTTGATGTTGGAACACTATCACTAATGGAAGATGAAGGTAATCCGCATGTCTGAAAGATGATCACAAATGGAACATGAAGGTAATCCACGTGGCTGTAATATGATGAAACTGATGCACGATCCAATAGACACGATAAGTAATCCAATACACATAAGTAAAAAATATTGGTTCAGCTGCATTTCGCACATTATTACAAGGTCTTGTTTAAGCACAAAATTTCTGCTGTACTATAAATTTCGACGATTCATTTGGCTTAAGCCTCACCGTCCTGAAGTCACCATTTGTTGCACGTGGTTGCGGCTGTGTGCAACAACAAACTATGCGTATTGGAATTTGCCAGTGCTTTTAAGGATGAATTCATAACATGCCATAAGAGCCAATTTTTGATAACAAAAACA